ACTTTTTACTGATAATTTCTGATATTTACTGACATTATACTGTTGGTACTGAGAATTTCTGATATTTGCTGATATTTTTACTGTTGTTACTGATAATTGCTGTTGGTTCTGATAATTACTGATATTTACTGTCGTTTTATGTGGGTTCTGATAATTACTGATATTTGCTGAGAGTTACTGTTGGTACTGAGAATTGCTGATAATTACTGAGATTATTTTCTAAGTTCATGAGATGCAAAAAGAAACGGGGGTGGATGGATTAAATAAATTTTACAAATTATTTTAATTTAATACTTTATTTTTTTATAACTTATTTTAAGCTGTAGGTATTTACAATTTGTAACTTGAGTGACAGCAGGGGAAGTATACATTTTTCTCATAAAAATTATTTTTTAGCAATCATATATTTGAAATTAATTTCTCTTTCTGTAAGAAGATTGAAGCTCCCAACTCCCCAACCCCCCCCCCCCCTCCGCACACACACACATTTCATTCTGTTTCTTAGTTCTTAAGGACTTACTTGTACTATTCCAATCGATGAAGTAGGCCTAAAACAGTTGTAAAAAGGACGTAATAAATCAGTTTCAATAAAAACAATTTAAAAAAGAAACTGGACTCTTATTTAATATATAATACACCATATGGTGCGGTGATGTTGGACATGGAGATCGTCCTTCGGATGGGAATGTATAAACTGCAGTCTTCTGTCACAGTAGTCTGATTACTGTTGAACACAGTGACGGGGTCCTAGGACTTTTATGGGTGATGTACACTGTACGGTAGCGAGAAAATAACACTAGGTGTCCCTGTTGTATGTATATATATACATGTATGACACGGCGAGTGAGAGAGAAGGGCACTCGGCGACCGGGACTCGCCGGGTATCACAAACAGCCAGTTACGCAACGACGAAGTGACAGAAAGTGACAGATGGATTCAAAAATTCGTTCATTTGCGTAAAAAGAACAAAGGGAAAACAATTACATGAAAAATAAAGAATTTAAATGTATCCAAATATGATGTTATCAACACATTGATTGTAAACTGGAACGTTTAACTAAAATTCTAGGGGAAAAATTACTTCTTTTTTTATATTTACAGCGAAGCGTGATGAGTAAAACTAATAATTAAGAATGCCTCTTTTCAGAAGAAATTAATTTAATACATATAAACAGATAGATAAATGAATGAAAAAAAAAGTTTATCCTTGTAAAAGTCTACTTTGGGATATAGGTGAAATAATTTATTTTTATCTAAACAATGTTCCGGGATATATTAAAAAAAATGCAGTATCAAGCTTTATATTTCTGTGGTTCTAATCCTCTTATTTTCCACGAGGTTTGGTACATGTTATTGTGCATTTTGCATTTTAAGGCAGAAAAAGGGGGGTATAATAAGCAGATTCTTAAAATGAATATTTATTATCACAGGGTGACGGGAATACATATTTTTGTTTTAAAATACTTATTCATATAATGCAACATTACATCTAAGAAATGTTTTATTATTAAGATATTTACTTAAAATCAAGGTATAGACTCAATATAGACGTACATGTAGCTTAAGAATAATGCCGGGACCAGCACAAATCTGTTGCATGTAATGGACTAATTGGAAGGAAATTTAGTATTCTATTTTAAAAACAATTTACATCAGGCACCGTGTGATTAGTGAAAATAAATACTTATCATTTGTATTTATTACTTTTCTAAGACTTGTAAGTAGTCTTAAAAATCTTCAAAATGAAAAAAAGAAATAGATCGGGATATTGTCTTTTTCTCTAAATGTACTTCTGTAAGCAAATTTCTTTCAATTGTAATCATTAGATATAAATAACATCCTCTGTTCCTTGTTTGAATTTGAATTAAAAAAAAATGTTTAACACGCCCGTGGGAAGCGAGAAAGAGGGAGCCACGTCCAAATAATTTTACTGCAATACTTCCATCAACGATCATTTACGGTCAAGCGTGTGTCTTCTAAAAACGTTCTGTTCTTTTTCGTGTTTTCGCTTTCTTTTTTTTCTTTTTGTAATTAATGGTATTATTTTTTATTACTAAGTAATGCATTTATTTATTTAAATATTTTTGGCTTGTCAGGAAATTCTGAAACTGCTTGCAACAGAATTTTCTTAGTGTAACAACTACCGTATTGAAAATAATGAGGACAAGCTTTAAAGGACTATTTTTAAATTACAACTATTACTGAAACAGCTAGAGTTGAAAAAGTCTTTGACAAAGTTTTATCTACCAGTTGTTTTTCTTTTTTCTGCAATCATTTTTTTTAAAAATAAGAACGATTCTTAACGATTTTAAACAGATTTTCTTTCCTCAATCTTCCTTTCAACCATTATCCCTCCCTTTCCAGTCAGTGTTAGGCTTGTTTTTACATCTTCTGGGTTCAGAAAAATAATCTCGGTAATTATCAGCAATTCTCAGTACCAACAGTAACTCTCAGCAAATATCAGTAAATATCAGAACCCACAGTAAAAACGACAGTAAATATCAGTAATTATCAGAACCAACAGTAATTATCAGTAACAACAGTAAAAATATCAGCAAATATCAGAAATTCTCAGTACCAACAGTATATTATCAGTAAATATCAGAAATTATCAGTTAAAAGTGGCACTATCAGTAATTATTTAGGCCAGTAGTGTAAAATATCTAGATATACTTGTTTTAACATAATATTGATTGTATACAATATTTCCAACCAAACATTAAAAATATCCTTAGTTTACAGATGTGAATCTCTAAGTGCTTCTGCTTTTTGGAGGAATTTCCCTATATATGACTTTCACATTTTCAGTTGATAATAATTGTAAAAGTTTATACATACTAAGTTAAAACCAATAATACTTTTTAATATATAATTTACTGTACTCATGATAAAGTGAGCATTTTAATATACAAAAGGTCCAAGGGCCTTAACGGTCACCTGAGTATAATACAACAATTAAGAAGTTAAATACACTGATAGATGAAGCTTTGTTGCCCTAAAGCAAGAGAAGTAGAAAGATCAGGATCAACAAAATAATTATTCTACTATTCAGTATCAACTCTAAAATTAAGTTCTAATCCGTCCCCCACTTAACACTATCACCATGCAGACTATTAACAAACTATTAGTGCTTCTGTACTATTTTTAAACCCATGTTAAGACCTCTAGCATTGACCTCTCTTATGGTCTTTGAAGAACTTTTAATAAGATAAGTTATTTTCGTCTCATTTTTATTTATCTATTACTTACAGGTCCACCTGATTATTAAAACTAAGAAAGTACTTTTTGAATTATACGATAAACATTCTTGCATAATTATCTTATTCTATTAACCTTTCAAATACATTATTCACAGTGATTAATTATCAAAGGTGAACGGCAAAGGGGAATAACTTCTCTCAGTAGAATACAAATTAATAGAGCCCTGCCTAGGACCAGAATGCCTAGACAAATGGTCCAGATGTTCAAAAATCTGATAGAAATACGCTTACTTATATCATTTAAACTTTTACTCAGTTTGCTTCCGATATGCCCAGAAGCAGAGAAGAATTTCTCAGGTACAATGCATTTTCACTAAAGATTCAACAAAGCCTTACCCTAACACCAGAACCCAAGACCAAGGATCAAGAAATTTTCAAATTTGGAAGAGTTACCCTCTTCATCATAACTATGGACTTCAAAAGAATTAACACTTTCCACTATATTATCAAAAGCACCCCCCCCCCCTCGTTATGCCAGAACCCCTGACCCCAGGACCACAAGATATAAAAATTCTGTTCGAAGCTCCCATTTTCATCATAGCTAAGCAATTTATTTATCAGCTCAACACTAAGAAGCAAACAGGATTAATTAATGATTAATTAATAGAATTAATGCTTTTTCACTATATAATCAATAGACCCCCCCTCCCCTCCTCAAGAACCCCAAAAACTGAGGCCATATATTTAAAAATTTTGGAAGGGGTATCCTTCCCTATCATAATCATGCACTTAGTTTGTTTAAATAATCTCCAGTAGCAGAGAAGAAGATTTTCAAAGAATCAATGCATTTTCACTATATAATCAATAGAGCCCCGCCCTAACACCAGAACCCCTGACCCTTGGGCCATGAAATTCACAATTTTTGAAAAGGCATCCTTATGCATCATAACTATGCACTTAGTTTGTTTAAATAATCTCCAGTAGCAGAGAAGATTTTCAAAGAATCAATGCATTTTCACTATATAATCAATAGAGCCCCGCCCTAACACCAGAACCCCTGACCCTGGGACCATGAAATTCACAATTTTTGAAAAGGCATCCTTATGCATCATAACCATGTACTTAGTTTGTTTAAATAATACCCAGGAGCAGAGAAGAAGATTTTCAAAGAATTAATGCTTTTCACTATATAATCAACAGAGCCCCGCCCTAACACCAGAACCCCTGACCCTGGGGCCATGAATTTCACAATTTTGGAAGAGGCACTCTTGCTCTTTATGACTATGTACTTAGTTACTTTATTTAATACCCAGGAGCAGAGAAGAAGATTTTCAAAGAAATAATGCACTTTCACTATATGATCTATATAGCCCCACCCTGAGGCCAGAACCCCTGACCCTGGGGCCATGAATTTCACAATTTTGGTAGAGGGCTCAATGCTTTTTACAATCATGCCAACAGTTTGACTGCTTGATGCAAGGAGTAAAGAAGAAGATTTTTAAAGATTGCATTATTTTTGGTGGTTTTAGCCCCACCCCTCAAGCCCGGGGGGGGGGGGGGCGGCAGGGACCATGAAATTCACAATTTTTGTTCCCCTTCACCCATAGATGCTATATGCCAAATTTGGTTGCAATTGGTTAAGCGGTTTCAGAGAAGAAGCTAAAAATGTTCAAATGTTAACACACGACGCACTCCGACGGACGAGAACGGATAGCAATAGGTCACTCAGGTGACCTAAAAATGGTACTCATCTTCAACCTCCATTTGACAACAAAAACATAATCTATTCTCCCTAGGAATATGAGTAAGTCTTCCCTTCTCAATCATTAATAAATGTGCACTTAATCTATATTTTGTAATCAATTGAATATACTTGGTTGGAATAGGTTCCAGTAAGTAGGATTGCATGCACAGCTTATTTGTTAAATATCTATATATAGAACACTTTGATGACGAAAAAACAAAGCCTCACATTCTTGTTGGAAACAGTCAGTTAATCTTTGGTTAAGAATTTTTTAAAATATATTTTTGTTTGTAATATTTTGACAATACCAAGCTTCTCCAAACCCTAATGAAAATAATAAATATTTTACATTAAATAACCAATTATATTTTGTACAAGAACTTGTCTCAATTTTTCCAAGCATATCTTGGTAAATACTTCACATGTACATGTATTTGTTTTTGTTAAAGTGCATAAATTTTCAATAACAAGAATCAACTTTTTAAATTGTGTTTTCTGTTATCATTGATTAGAAAATTTAGCTTTAGAGAGACCTGCCTGGCAGGAGCACAAATTCCCAACTAAGCCAATAGCCTGGGGAGCAGATAAGGCGGTGGATGGAAAATATTCTGACCGCTCAGCAGGAGGTGGACAGTGTACAATATCGGACGGAAAAGAGACAGCTACTTGGACAGTGGATTTAGAAAGCGTGGCTAGCATCAGTCACGTCAATATCTTCTACAGGACAGATAATGCTGCAAGTACGTTCAGATTTATTTTCTGTTCATCAATTAGGTTTAAAGTAATATCAGTTTAATGTGTTTCATAAATCTCATTATTCTTTCATGAATCAATAATACTCATGAAACTACTCTCTAGAATCGATGACGATTTCCATTGAATGCATTTTTTTCTGCGGTCACTTTTTTTCACCCTGATCATGAAATGAAATGTTTGGAACTGAAAGGGGTCCGAAGTAGTTGGAGAGTAAGAAAACAGACAATTTTTTTTTAAATTTAAGTATATATATTATTTAGAATATAGCATACTAAGAAAAAAAAATAAAATCAAACTTAACCACTACATCTCATTATAGTGATATGGGGCCATTTCAAAATATTGGCCATTTTTAATTAAATCATTGCATATAGAAAAACTACCAGATATAAACATGAATAAACAAAATAAAATGAAAACTAAGAAGACATTTGTTTTGTTTTTCAGTTATTTTATGCACAAACCACAGTTCTTTAAGACATAACAATAAAAAATGCAGTGTTCTTTTTTTTGCTAGTGAAAAAGAGGACAAATAATACACAACTTGTTTTACATATTAATGTAATTGTTATGGAGAGTGAAACAGATAGTCTTTAACGGCGTCCCTCCTCCTTTTACTGCCACATTCCCTATAAATTTCATCGACTAAGAAAATTCTTTATTATATAGACCTACAACTTATGTTTACAATTAATATAGGAAAATGAGTAAAAAACCAATCAGAATTTAGTGCACATGAACGCACCTAATTTAAAATTGCCATATACAATATATAATATAGAGCTATATGATAGGTTTCAAAGAATTTCCGTATATTCGTAGAAAGTTACCGCAGTCGGAATGTTAATTAATCAGAATTTAACAAACGTGCATTCAAGTTCCCGTACTAATCTCTGAATGATATCATAATATAGGGACTTAAAATATTTACATACTCCTTGAATGTGGTCTTTTACATTGAAAAGTAGGACAATTATAGCCATCTATAAGCTTAGCTTATCAGATTTCAGCACAAGTGTATGTGCTTATTTTCTTGATTTCTCACGCTAATTTCCTCATAATGCCGTTGTCTTAAGTTTCAAGAATTTAATTGAAAGTAAGATAGTTACAAGCGATAAAATATAAGCTACATCTATTCTTGCATTATACTTTGATAGTTTTATAATTTAGAAACTCATTATACTTATTCATACTCCAAATTTCATCCTATTTAATTTGATAAAAAAAAAAAATAAGGAAGCTAAAGCCATTTAATGTTTCGACAATCAAATTGCAGCGCAAGTGCATTTGCGTGTTTTCAAATATTTTCCTATACATCAAATTGTAGAAAACCTTATATTAATTTACTCAATTTTTTTATTCTTTTGTCAAAGAACAAGGAAGTTATTAAAAATGTGACAGTTGATATCAGTCATTTCCTTATCGCATGCGCATGCAAGGAGACACCGAGAACTTTGTTTAGGAAACATAAAAAATATCAGTAAAATTTATCTCGTAATTTGTACGAAAATAATGTCAGGGAATTTCAGGATGCGAAACATGGTTTGTAGTCTACAGGAAATATGAAGATAACGAGAAGTACGAGGGTGATCAAAAACTATCTCTATATTTACAAAACCACAATTCAGATCAGAATGAAATTTGGCAGACATATAGTCATACACATGTTCTATAAATAGCAGATGTTATGTAATGTTTTGCTCCATGTTTGTGACGTCACAACGTGAAAAAGAAGTCAATATGTAGGTGACTTGTGACAAAAAATGATAGACTAAGTCGTATTTGAGCAACGAACGGCTGTACAGTTTAAGGTGTATCTTGGAAATTCCTTTGCAGTAGCATGAAATATATGGAGATAACGAACAGTATTCAAGCTCAAAAGTCCATTATACAATACAAAATAGGAGCAGAGCAAACACGGACCTCCAAACATCAGAGGTGGGATCAGGTGCCATGGAGGAGTGAGCATCCCCTGCCGACCGGTCACACGGGAAATAACGGAAAAATCCGTCGACAATTCAGTGTGTAAATAATGGTCTAACAATTAGTATGAAAAACGTCAGTCAGCATTTGACTCAATGATAAATTGTATTTGCTGACAAGGTCATTGTATCGACCATAGAACTTACGAAATGATGATTTTAAACGAGACAGCTGATATTCTTGTTTCATCAACTTATTTGTCAATAATTTACCTCGTTTTAGAAATTGTACATACGTTGAGCATGCTCTTGCGTATCGAATCAACTGAGAGATATATACCCCGTATGCAGGTGATGAAGGTATATTGCTGCATAAGTAAGGGAAGTTGACGATTGAAAAGTTAAAGTCATCACGTTTATCATAAAGCTTGGTTGTTAGATTACCATTAACGTCTTTTTCAAGTAAAATATCCAAATATGAAACAGATGTGTCAGACTCCGTGGTATCTTTTATCTCAAGTTCACCAGGATATATCGTATCGACATAAGAATGAAAATAGCCATTGTTAATTGACAATACGTCGTCGATATATCTAAATGTCGAGTTGAAGGCCACAGCAAGTGTTTTCTTCTTTTCACGTACAAGCATATAATAATTTGGACAATGCTTATGAAGATAGAAGACTTGCCAGAAGTTCAATCATTAATTAGATTGATTAAGTGAAGGAAGGGAAATTGTTAAAAATGATATTTGTTCTGTTGCCCAGTGAAAGCAAGCTGGGGAAGAGATGTGTCCTTTGTTGAGCAAATTTGTTATGAAAGATCACCAAGTTACAGTAACAGAAATAGATGAATATCTTAACAATAAAATAATTATTAAATCCAGAAAATGTCGTTTACTTTAGACTTTAAACATATCAGATATGGTAAAAAGAATGCGTCCATACTTTATCCACATTGGATAAATGACTCTCAAAAGACGGACTCGGTTTGTGATGGTCACCATGCTCATCCTGGGAAAGGATAACCTTATCCACCCATCCTATTGCCGAGATTTCTGACAAATGGATTTTTATTGTTATAAAAAATAACTTGCATGGTAAGAAATATAAGACTTGGAAAAATCTTTAAGCTTCTGGGAACAGAACGCTACGGTGCATATCACGTGACCGCCTGTATCACGTGATTCGCAGATGGGCAGAACGGTGGCAGATGTGAATTAAAATTGGAGAGGACTACGTTAAAAAATAATAAACACTGAAACCTCATTTCTTTTATGGAAGTTATTCAATTAGTTCATGAACTTTTTGATCACCCCTCGTAATGTAATCAAGCTCAAAAGCCCTTTTAAAAAATACCTGTTCTAAGCAGAGCCAACACGGACCTCTTAAAACAACAGAGATGCAATGGGATGCCCTTGAGGTTTAAATATCCTTTCGACCGGTCACACCAGCCATGTACTCCTTGTTACGATCGGGTAAACAGAAAACTCCGTAGATAATTAAGTGTCAAAATAATGGCCTAATTTTTTTAATGAAAAACCTTGGTTAACATTCAAGTAAATGGTCAATTGTATTTGCTAACAAGGTCATTTTATATAGAATTTGCTAAATATTGACTTTTAACAATATTGTTAATATTCTCGTATCATCAACTTATTTTTCAATACATGTAGTTTATCTCGCTATAGACATTGTTCTTACATAGAACATGCTCTTTCGGATCAAATCATTTGGGGAGACATAAACTCCATATGCAGGTAACAATGGTTTGTTGATGGAAGGTTGAAGTAATTAATTTTATCTAAAGTTTGTTTTTAGTTTGCCATTAATGTATTTCTCTTGTAAAATGTCAAGATATGAAACAGATGTGTCAGTCAGACTCCGTTATGTTTTTTTTTTTTTTATTCAAAGGGACATCGAATCAACCTAGGGATGAAAATGAATATTGTAAATTGATAAAACGTCATCGATATATTTAAATTTGAATGTCACAGCAAGTGACTTAGACTTCTTCTTTACACGTAGAAGTTTTGAATTATTTCTACTTTATATGAATACAAAAGCAGGTCTGCTAATAACGGGGCGGAATTACAGCCGATTGGAATTCAACAGATTTTCTGAAGATCTGGTTTCCAAAAAGAACAAACGTTTGATTTACATATCAATAATTATCTGATCATTCCTTGGAACCCTTAATCATACCTTGGAACCCCTTATCATTATCTAAAAATCATTTACGAATTCAAAGATCTAGTTGCTTAACAATCTAAGAAATGAGTTCAAATTAGACCAAACATGAAACTTAAATTTATTCAACTATTTATCATATACCAAATTTCGAAGCACGTTGAAATTTTCCTGGACTGTGTAAGAATTCATATAATGAAATGCATTTACTAGGTCAAGTATTTCAAGAAGCTCTTTATTCAGATATATATGCCAAAAATATTACAAGATATTGTGCCTTTCATAATATTTGCTTGATATTGTATCATAAAATTTACAATGCAATATTTTGTTTCTTAAGGGAATATTCAATGAAAATTAGTTTGAAACATTTGTACTTGCTTATTTTAGGTCCTGGTGCGTACGTTGGTCGATTTGCTGGGTTTTTCCTTTACGTATCCAATACTACATCAAAACAGGGCAGTTATTTTTGTTTCCATGAGTTGCAAAACGATACCCGTACTCCAGCAGAGAATCAGACAATAAACTGTCCTGTCCACGGACGTTACGTTATATACTTCAACGAGAGGAGACAGGGTGTTAACTACCCTGATTACTACTCTCCAAATGCGTACAACGAATTGTGTGAAGTGGAAGTGTATGGTTAGTTTTAAGAAATACTTTTGTGACTAATATATATATATATATATATATATATATATATAGATAGATAGATATATTAGATAGATAGATAGATATATTAGATGATTGAATATACCGTTCACGGTAGCTCAGTCAGTAGAGCCCTCGCTTCGTGATCGGGAGGTCGGGAGTTCGAATCTCGGTCGCGATTGATCTAAGTCGATAAGAAATGGGTAGCAACAGTTCCTTCACCATGCACTCGGCACTTTGAAGCGAAAGTTGTGAGTCCTTCGGATGAGACCTTAATAACCGAGGCCCCTCACTGCTCAATGACCCTGAGTGCCGAATAAAGGTCAAAATTTGAAGCCCTTCACCGGTATATGGTGACGTCTCTATATGAGTGAAACAACATACAATCAATATATGATTAAATAATTTCCATCTCTCTCATAGGATGAGATCCAACAATGTCAGAAAAATACTACGTTATATTGACCTGTACGTGACCTTCCAGGTCAATATAAGGTATTATTTATTCTACATTGGACCAAAAATAGATAGGTAAATTCCAAATTGATGCAGATAGTTTTGGAAAGTTATTCACTTGCACCTGACACCCACTCATATGAACATAACATTAAGGCACATAGATTCTTGGGTGAAGGTATTGGGGGGGGGGGGGGTTGCAGGAGGCCTGCCCATCTCCCCACCTTTTGTTTGTTTGTTTGTATGTTGTTTAACGTCCCTCTCGAGAATTTTTCACTCATATGGAGACGCCACCACTTGCCGGTGGAGAGCTGCAAATTTTTGTCCTATACTCGGCACTTACGGCCATTAAGTAGTGAGGGATCTTTTTCGTGCCAGCAGCTACTGCGACACGGGACCTCGGTTTATACGGTCTCATCCGAAGAACCGGTCTCCACGACCCACAGTGGGATTCGAACCCGCGACGTAAGGATCAACTCCTTACGCCGCGACTCTAGAGCAGACACTCTAACCTCTGCGCCACGCGGGCGACCCCCACCTTTTGAGAATGTAAAGTTTTAATTTAAATTTTAAGGTTAAAAATAAATTCAATGAAAGGCCCCCTCCCCTCGTTTATGAACCATGGACCTTTACATCCCACCATATAAAATTTTGAGTTGGGAGAATTCTTTTCCTGGGGGGGGGGGGGGGGGGGGCTAGTCAAAGATTTGTTTTCTGGTAAGTTGTCATTTTTTTCCTTTTAATGTCCCCCTTTTTTCTACATTGCATCTAAACTAGAATTAAAAATTCCAAAATAATACAACTGTTTTTTTTTTTACCCCGTGTCTCTCATTATGTTCGGCTAGTACTTCAGTAGATGTGGCATGGATTGCTTATTGAGTGTGTATCATTTAATCATTGAATCTATAATAAAACAATTATTGCTGTTATTTCGGTCAATACGATGGTTTAGCCCCCTTCGAAGTACAATATTCACCTCACCCGTCGGGCTTGGTGAATATTGTACTCCTCAGGTGTTTAATTCATCCCATTGACCTCAAAAACTAGCAATAATTGTATTTTATATATATATATATATAGAGAGAGAGAGAGAGAGATAATAATTATTCGTAAGAAGATCGGGTTTAATTTTCTCATTGAAAGTACTATTTTCCTTATGCATTACAGTGAATCATATGAATTGCTTGCTTATGCCAAGTTATAAAGAAATACCAAAAACACCAATAGCTTAGATTCTTGAAAAATAAAACATTTTTATGAATAAGAGAAGAGTCCAGTATGTACTGATAGACTTACTTTCTGAAGGTTGCAGCGACCCAGGAACGTATGGTGAGAACTGTGACCAAATATGTCCAGAAAACTGTCAGGAACAAAGATGTAACATCACCTCAGGAGAATGTCTGGGTTGTAAACCGGGATATCAAGGTCTGAAATGCAGCAGATGTAAGTAATTAGTAATTGTTTAAGCAGTTACTGAGGTACAAAGATGCGTATTCATAATAAGAATAATTATTTTTAAGGTAGTTACAAAGAATGTTTGTATATATATTTCAGAGAAATTTTTAAAATATTTTGCTTTTCATGAGTATTTCTTACCAACCATTTATTGCTATTCCAGTGTGTGATAAACACACTTACGGCTTGGAGTGTTCCGAAATATGTGGTAACTGTAGTGACGGAGAAACCTGTCACCATGTCAACGGCACGTGTATGAATGGTTGTAGTGAGGGAGCAAAGGGAGAGGAGTGTCTTGAAGGTAAGATACGCTTTTTTGAAAGTGTGTGTTTTATATTTCCTTTTCATTTTTATCTTTTTAACACCGCATTCACAGAATCAAATATATTTCTTTCCTTAGTTCTTCCGCAAAACCACACGGACTTTCACGCAGGCATGTTTAATAAACTGCGCTAGCATTAAAATAATTTACATTCAATGCCTTATTTATATAAAACAAAACCTTTGTGGTCCCTTCTACGATAATCTCGTTGTGTATGCTTATCCTTGTCATGCAAATCGGTATGCAAAAGAACTGGAATTTATCTAGATTACAGAAGCGGTCTAAAGCGGACTGAAAAATGTATATTTTTTAAAAGAAAAAAGATGGTTGTCATTTCATCTCCTACTTAAATCACAATGATGCTGAGCAATCAATTTGCAATCATTGTTTACATGTGGAAATGCTACATGATTTTTCTTTTGCCAAAATATTTCTTACGATTCCAAAGCGAGAAAGAAATCAATTCATTTTTTTTTCATACTCAGAGGTTCCAAGGATTTTTTAATTAAAGAAGATGGGTGAACAAGGCGTGCAGGATGCCTATAGCTTTAGATATTAATAAAATCATATTCAATTTGTGAATTAAGTATTGAAAATAAAGTTCTCATTATTGAAATTTATGAAATTATGATCAACAAAACTTTTCTGAGAAAAAAAATCTCGGAAAAAATTATTCTTTTATTAAAAAAATAAAATGGTATTCATGGGATTCGAACCCCTAATCAATAAAAATCCGGAGTATCATATTGTTTTGTAACACGCTAACCACTACGCCACGCAGCTCCTGACGAATATTGGCATTTAAATCATGTTTGTGATATGACCCTTGACTTAACGGACTTCAAGTATTTCTCGGAAAGAAGTGAATGCTTTGTCATAAAAGTGTACTTTTAAGGTATAGTGGGCCTTCGCTCCATGTTTTTGTAAACCAAAAAATGTATATTTTTATGCTAACTTTTAGGATCAATTTTCAAAAAAATGGAGCGAAGACCCACTCATATCGAAAAATTTTGTTAAAGTCTGAGAAAATGATCCTTTTTGTCCTCTTTAGTGTGTGTATGCTATTTCGTAGGCAAATAGTTTCAGTCTTTGTGAGATTTTTGTAAATTGTAGAGATTTAGCATAAAATATACTTTAATGTTAGATGAAATGTCAAATAAAATTTTTATATAATTGAGAGTTTATTTTTCACTTCATGTTTGTCGCACTATAGGCACTTCGCCCGCCTTGTTCACCCATCTTCTTTATTTATTTATTTTTTTTTGAGAATTGATTCTTGATCAAATATTACTTTCTTGATCTATTTCTCAAGTACGTCGATTTCTTTGATATTTGGACAAGAAGAAAAATAAAGAACCTGGTTCAAATTTACCAAGTCTTACTAATATTTGATTATTTAAAATGTTTATTATTGTTGTCTGTGAGGATATCTTCTATTAAAGCTATTAAAACCTTGTTTTCAAGCTTACACTGGGCGTAACCATTGTAGCCATTTGATTCATGACCGCTATATATTTCATATAGGTACGTTCCGTTCTTATCTTATGACTAGGGAAGGTGAAAAATTCTCAACTGTATGTATTTCTTCAGGCACGTAGCAGCCGGGGGGGGGGGGCTACCCCCTTTTTTCCAAAGACTTTTTTTACTATTTGAAATGTTAATTGAAAGGCCGGTTCCCCCCCCCCCCTACTTTTTCTTGTAGAATAGTCAAGTAAGGGTTTTCTAGTAGAGTATGAATAAAATTTGTTACTGAAAGAAGTTTGAACCTACCCCCTCCCCACTAAATAGGATTTTCGAGGTCGGAAAATTTTCATTTTTCCTTTCTTTTCTTTTTTTTTTTTTTTTTTTTTTTTTTTTTTTTTTTTGCTTGTGAAGTTTTCTTTCCAGATAAGTTGAATTTTTTTTCTCCGGCTGCCCCTCCCTCCCCCCCCCCACTTTCAAAAAGGATGCTACGTCCCTGTTCTTCATTTAAAAAGTTGTCGCCGATATATTTATTTGAATCATCACTCACATTATTTACATGTTCCTGTGATCATCATAAACATGAATTATAAATTCTCCATAAAATCTATTTATCTTTAAATGATTTTCGTCCTATACTATATTTCTAAATATAGATGTACTGTGCATGCTCATAGGCAATTCTTTGTGTGGTAATAATTTCCTTTGAAGCGCACTCATAACACTCACTTTATTTGAGTTATAGATTTCTTAATATAAGAATATGTATATGTATCGTGAATGCACATGTCTTAATGGTAAACGTGTTTCACTGATGAACAAATGCATCTAAACCTTATCAGAAGCAGGCATTACGATTAGTATATAAGAAAACTAAGCACTAAAACAGATCTTGACGTATCAATGTCAAAGACAATGGTACCCAAACAAAACAAAAAAAACTTCCGTTAAGGAAGCTATAAACACTACTGAAAATTGCTCTTTGGACTTAAAAATATATTTGGAATGAAAAATATATCATATAAAGGTGCACATATTCAGTATATCTAGTTCATTTTCAACATAGAGTGCCTGCCTTATTTCTGCAGAAACAATGAACTATTTGTGAACAGAAATCACCGTTGTTTACTTGCATCGGGAAAATTAATGGAAATAACGTATTCAATTACTTAATCTTTGTCTAACATAACATTAAGAATACTTTAATTCATAAGAATCTGTGTCATTAACTGTAGATTCCCATTTATTCTATTTTTCTTCTAAGGGCAGATCACTCTAAATCAATAAAACTACCCTACAATAGAACTCTTTAGTGTGCAGTGTTTAGAGCTTCCTTAACTATAGTTTACTATGGTATCAAAGCTTACATGTTTTCCAATTCACCCTTTTTATATTTTAAAAATCGAGATATTGCGTATATACTTACATATCATTTCCAAAATTTATCTAATGGTTTTGAATTCAAGTGATCTTAAGCCTCGAACTCTCAAAGAAAGTTTTAAAGTTTCATAGTAAATCAATTTATAAAGTATTATCTATAGTTCTTTGTAGTAAACTATAATTAACTAGTGCTAATTGTAACGGGAACCGTTAAAGATGTTCCCCAAACGGCTCCCCAATCCCTTATGATGCCCCATTCCCTACAAGCTTCAATAAATTAGACAATACTTTTGTAATATAGATGGACACTTTATTTTTAGGGGTATTTCATTGGAAAACAACTCCGATATAGCCATATGGGTATTAGCCAATCAAATTTCAGCACATGTGTTTGCACATGTTTTCTAAATTTTTCACATTAATTTTCTTATAGTGTCTCAAAAAACATATATTTGTGTTAAATATTAAAGAATCTCATTGAAAAATAAGAGAGATGTAACCCTTTAAGTATTAGCCAGTCAGAATTCCTCATACGCGCATGCATGGCCTTGCATTCAATTTTGATTGTATCATAATGTAGGAGCTCTATGTGCCTATCCAGGTCGTAAATTTTATCCTGTTTTGTTGAAAACCAAGGGAGTTATAGACATTTAAAGTTTCAACCAATCAGATTGCAGCACACATGCATGCGCGTGTTTTCAAGAAATTTCCTATATAACATGTTGTAGCACCTTATTATGTATACTTATATTCTAAATTTCAAAGTATTTTGTCAAAAAACAAGGAAATTATTGAGATTTTTGTATCAGCCAATCAGGGAAGAGCGCACGTGCATGCGCGTGAGTTCACGCTAATTTGACCGTGTTATCTTGTCTAGACTACTAATATATCTTTATATTTTGAGTTTCAAAGCAATTCATCAAGAAATATAAAAGTTACGGCTTCATCAAGTATATCAGTCATTTCACTCATTGCACGCGCGCGCACGTGCATGCATGTGCGCGCAAAATGACCTTCGTTCCGAACACCTACACAACATGCCTATTAACCCTAAAAAGGTTTCATGTCAATCGGATGAGTGGTTGTATGAGAACACTCCCGGACAAAAAAGTACCGGAGAAGAAAGTAGAAAAAAAGAATAATAATAATAATAATAATAATAATAAGAAACAGAGTAAAAACAATATGTTCCCAAACTTCGTTTGGGGAACATAATTATTATACTTCTGTTAAAATGTTTCCTATATAAAGTTAAGAAAGTAAAATAACTATCTTTTATAGTCTGAAAATTTCCCCACATAGCAAAGCTATACCCCGGGGTATAGTTTGTGCTATCCACCCCTCGGAAAGTTTTCATGCAATTTTTGACGCCAATTTTGATTTCCTATAATCAGTCTACAGACTGATGATGTCTTCCTGACTTCAGTAGCATTGTGACGTCATCAAGATTTCAGCTCATTCTAGCAGTGTTACCTTATTCCAAATACTTGTCCAAAGCTATTATAATAATTCTTTTCATGTTTTGCTTATGAAACTTTAGTATCAGGTAAAACAAACCCTCAGAAATTATGATATACATCAGTATTATAAAACGCTTATCCACTGGTTGTGAGTGGGATAGCTCTTTCATCAAACCCTTGACAGGAACTATTCCCCTCGGGCAAGCCCTCGGGGAATAGTTCCTGTCGCGGGTTTGATAAAAGAGCTATCCCACTCACAAGCAGTGGATAAGTGTATACTATTACATATTTTTGTTAGGGTATACAACATTTAAAGAAAAATGTTCCTGTAATTGAAGATTTTATGCAATGAAATTAATCTGCTCCTATTTTGTATTGTATAATGGACTTTTGAGCTTGAATACTGTTCGTTATCTCCATATATTTCATGTATATATATTTAGAAATGGAAATTCTTGTTTTAAGTATACAGAGAATATTTTATATTCTTTTATATTCTACTGGCCGATTTCCTTTATATTCAGGATGCGAGGCTGGATCTTATGGTAAAGACTGCGTACAGAAATGCAGTCATAACTGTGGTATGCCAAACACATGTAACAGGTTTACTGGGGAATGTGAAGGAGAATGTCAGACTGGGTGGAAAGGAGAACGATGTGATAAAAGTACTTAAATTTTTCTCTTGCTTTATACACTAGCAAAAATGGTTTTATTCTCATAATTACTTAAAATGCGTATGAATGACGAAAACTAACAACATTAAGATTAGTAATTTTATAGTGAAATCCTTGTAATTGGTAAAGCTGAACAATACTCATAAATAGGCACCATCACACAGGTATATAAACCCTTCGATTTCGTTACACCCGATTGCTTACTTGAAACTCGTGGTCGACGTGTATATTCCTTTTGTGGTCTTAGATTTTTTTTGCGTTTATTCCTTGTTTTATATGCATTTTCTGTTTGTAAATAATGCATTGACTTGTATATTTGATGTTACTTTTCTCCTGGTTCCGAAAAAAGTACGTAAAATTTGACAATGTCATCGCGACCGAGTAACACGGCCATGTGTACGTCTTCTTAGGTGAGACCTCTACAGCGAAATACTTTGAACTGTTCAGAGATCTGTGGCTTATATAGGGGTTGTTGGGATAACAGCGATGAAAGGGAAACATAGTGGACAATGCCTTTTACGAGTAATGTTAAGCTTTAATATACGCCTTCAAGATAAATTATATGACAATTGTAATAGTAAAGAGTTTGTTATGCTGACCCAATCTTGTAACATAGAATATATAAATGTTACAAAACATTGTGTGAACATCATATGATTGTTCAATGATCTGAATTTATCGGGAGGCAAAGATTATACTGAAATCTGCCCATGATGTATTCTGTTTATACGAGGGTTGATCCGAAAGTAATGACATGTCACAACTGCTATATATGTTATGTCTCAAGTGCTATAAATCTTCAATAATGGAATGTTGTTATCAAAATTTCACATTATGAAACCCTTAGTACTTATTTGCCTTAAAACGTCATACAAGGATATAAAATATTTTTTTGAAATATTAAGATAAACACAAGAGTAGGTTTTGCTTAGCGCCCGCAAGGCTAGAGTGTTACCTACGTCGCTATGACGTTATTTTTTGGCAGTCATTTTCAGTTTATCTGCAAATCTTTTTATCCTCTCAAATGCTTCCTTTTAATAATCTTTACTACCAATTTGCTATAAAGCATCTTGTTTTGATTTGAAGTGTTAAAATTATTTTGTCAAAATGCCCCCCCCCCCATTATATTGCATAGATCTTATGTATTCTCAGATTTAAGAGTACATGTAGGTGGCATTCAAGAATCACCGGTCGTCCAGTCTCTTCTTCCTCGGTTGAAATGTTGAAGAATTTGTTATCCAGACTTTACGCCAGTCTTGATGTAATAAAACTAATAGGTTAAAAATACAAAATTTGCATAAAATACCAAATGGAAGTCAAAAGACGGGCAGTTTTTAGGAAGTAGAATGTGCGTGGAGGATGAGTCTTTCACGTCACTTCCACTATGTCCGATCCTACATTACACATACATGTTTGCACAGCGAAATGAATATGAAAATGGAAAGAGAATATTGTTTTTTCAAATGGCCCAAAACTAGACGTTCAATTAAGTTGGGAGTGTACATAAAATAGAACGTATAATGTATGAGAGATTTAATAAGTTTTGTTTGTTTGTTTGTATGTTGTTTAACGTCCCTCTCGAGAATTTTTCACTCATATGGAGACGCCACCACTTACCGGTGGAGAGCTGCAAATTTTGTCCTATACTCGGCACTTACGGCCATTGAGCAGTGAGGGATCTTTTTCCTGCCAGCACCTACTGCGACACGGGACCTCGGTTTATATGGTCTCATCCTAAGGACCGGTCTCCACGCCCCACAGTGGGATTCGAACCCGCGACGTAGGGATCAACTCCTTACTTCGCGACTCTAGAGCAGACGCTCTAACCACTGCGCCACGCGGGCGACGATTTAATAAGTAATTATATGGATGAAGTGAAAATGAGTTCCGAAGGTAAAAAATCATTACGATTCGTTACATTCTTGCCGTTCGGCGATAGACGAGATTTAACATTGTGTTTATTTTAACATTTTAAAAAGTATTTCATATATCTGAATGAAACTTAGCGCAAAAGTTGAAATAGATAAAGGTACTTATTTATTAAATTTTATTCATTAATTCAAGATTTAAAGCAGTTGAAACATTACTCTTGGATCAACCTTAGTTTATAAAAACAACACAAAATAGCCATAATATGTTCAGTATTTCTTTATTGAAGAATGTGACGGTGGAATGTACGGTTATAACTGCAATGAAACCTGTGGCCATTGTCTTAATGATGCTCCGTGCTACCATGTCAATGGTACTTGTTTACAAGGGTGTTCTTCTGGCTACGAAGAATCTCTGTGTATCAAAAGTACGAAATTATTTTCTTTGGAAGTCAGTTGTTAACTCTTTAATTAACAATAGCTCTCTTCGAAATTCATTCACTTTGCAGGATAAAGTTTAATGTTTGTCCTTCCTATATCAATGGAAAAAACAAACAAACTAACAAACAAGCAAAAAATAAATAAATAAAAAAAAAATAAGTTAAATAATAATAATAAATTATAAAGGTTTAAAGTTACCAACATTTAGCAGACTTCTATAATAAAAAACAAAACATATTTCGTTTTATTTTGAACTACGATTATCACAATCTCATAAGTTGCTATAAAAGTATTAATATAGTAAATAACCCTTTTTCATAGAATGCCATCAAGGGAACTGGGGTATAAACTGTAAAATGAACTGTACCACAGAATGTATCAACCAAATATGTCATCATGAGTCAGGGGTCTGCTCCTCAACTTCGAAGGTGAGCTTTTAAAGAAAATGTACAGAAATACTCTCTAGGATGTAAACATTTTTATTAATTCCTTATAAAACTGTTTTTCTAACGTTTAAGTCCTTAAAGACGACCATGAATTCCTTCCCATTGCTACCCGTGATTGTTGGTGTCATCGCATTTGTTGTTCTGGTCATTGTTGTCCTTTCTGTGATCTTAATCAGACGGTAAGATAAAACAAACCAAATCATAAAAATAAACGTACATGTCATATAATAAAATAAATTTTGAAAACATTTTGACTATTTACAAAAAAGAAAAAGTACCTTATCTTTCTTAAATTTTCTAAAATTGCTTCAAGTGGTATTCAAGGTCTGGTTAATCAGTAATGTAAAATTGTTGCTTGTTCGACTAGCAGGCAAAAACACTAAGCTGGTGCCTAGAGTTTGTAGTTTCATTGTAGTGCAAGAGCATCAAATGGCGGTAACCAGAGACAAACAAAAAAGAATAGTAAAAGAGGTATTTTTCTGCCATGTTCAACATTGAATATTTATTTCGTATTAAATTTCATCTGTATATGTTCTCATGCTTCAAAAATGTTTTATCACTAAATCGGAATAAAGTAAAAAAAAATCAGAATTTAAAAAAGAGAAATCTCCCCTTACAGCTTAAATTCTTGAAGGAATATAATTTCTCAAATAATAGATTTTGATTGTACTTACAACATCAACATCTTCCAATGTATTTCGTTATCATTTTGTACCTATGTATCAAGCATAAGGCCAATCATTGGGGTGGTAATCTAGTCAAAATTTATAACTGCCCTTCATTCCTGACCATTTGCCCTTAAATCTCGTACAGTTCTCATGGACACTTGGTATCAGTGTATTAAGAATAAAATGGACCATGGAAATGTATTATTATAGGCCTTTCAACTAATTTTTCAAAAGGCACCTATGGTAAAAATAATCTGATAGATAGATTTATAGGTACGTGAAATTCTCAAAATACAGTATAAGCTTTACACACACTTAATGAAATCATTAAAAATTAAATTATCATTAATTGATTTTACGATGTTGTGTTTTGAGGAAAGTTATCTCAAATGTGAAAAGGTCAATAAATTGCTGATGTATAGGAATGGCTTCAATTCTGGTATTGTCGTAAATAAAAAAGTGTTTCTTATGTATCAAAACAAGGTGATTGTCTTCATTCGACCTGAAGTAATAAGATCAAAATAAAAGTGAAACGGACTATATTCAAGATTTGTAACTGTCCTCGGCAGTTGTTACGAAGAAGAAAATATAATTTCATATTTTTATGTGTGCATTGTTGTGCTTCTTCTAGAATGATGTATATTTCTACGCGTGCAATTAAATGCAGTAAATTATTGTCGTATTCTTTACATAAAGAACGAAGAAGAACAAGCAGGTTTAAAAGTGGAATCTGGTTAAAATTTAAAAGGGTTTACATTTCACGTTAAAATTTTATTCAAACTGTAGCTTATAAAGTAGTGTATAAAGTCAGTAACCACGTGAAAAATAAATTATCAACTGAATTATTAAAACATAGGTCACCACTGGCAATGAGGGTTAATTTGGAAACGCTAAAAATTGATCTACTTAAAAAAAATTACTAATCTCGCGGCTGCTGTAAACAACACCCAATAGTTAGTTATCCTCCTAGCGGAAGCTGAAAGGCCTAATTATTATATCACTTCCTTTTTAGCTGCAAAACATATCTTAATAGTTAAGATTTTAAAATCTCAAATGATTGTCCTAAAATCTCGTGGAAGCCTAGCGGTTCACTTAGTGATCGGGGAAATCGGGTTTGATTCTCGTTCCCGGCACCGCGTCAAACCAAAGACGTTAACATAGGTAGTGACCGTTCCTTCGCCAAGCGCCAAGCACTAGATGTGAAGGTCACAGGTCTTTCAGATGAGACCTTAAAAACCAAGACCCCTTGTCAAAGTAGGCGATGGCACGATAAAGGATCCCCACTGCTCAGTGGCCCTAAGTGTCGAGTAAAGGTCTAAATTTAAAGCTTTTTTCCAGCATCTGGTGACGTCTCACATAAGTGAAAAATTCTTGCAAGGGACTTAAAACAACAATCATTCAATCTTGATTTTTCAGTTTCTAACATCACTCCCTTTGATCTTGGCAATTTTATTTTAATGGTCTCTGTTTTTATGCCCCGCCATGAATATGGCCGTGGTATATAGTGTTTGTCATGTCCGTCTTCAGTCCTTCTGATCTTCCGTCCTTCCGTCTGTCCTTCCGTCACACTTTGCGTTTAGCTCTGTTAAAAGCTAAGTTTCAAAGAAACTACCCAAGATATTTTTATCAAACAACATATGTTGTTAGATATCGATGAGCGCTATGCAACTGCATCAACATTTTTTGACCTTGAACTTTCCTTTGACCTTGACCTCACTTCTTTTAAATTAGTGTTTAGCTCAGTTTTAAAGATAAGTGTAATCAAACTTCATATGTTGATACATACTGATGTAAAATATTTAACTGCTTCAACATTTTTTGACCTTGACTTTTCCTTTGACCTTGACCTCACTTTTCTTAAATTAGTGTTTAGCTCAGTTTTAAAGATAGCATTCAAGATAGTGTAATCAAACTTCATATGTTGATACATGCTGATGTAAGCTATTCAACTGCATCAACATTTTTTGACCTTGACTTTTCTTTTGACCTTGATCTCACTTTTCTTAAATTAGTGTTTAGCTCAGTTTTAATGAAACCATTCAAGATATTTTTAACGAACTTCATATTCTGATACATACTGATGAGAGAGCTATTCAACTGCATCAATATTTTTTACCTCGACCTTTCCTTTCATCTTTGCCTCACTTTTCTTAAATAAGTTTTTAGCTCTGTTTTAAAGATACCATTCAAATAGTGTTATCAAACTTCATATGCTGATACATACCGATGAGAAATATTCAACTGCATCAATATTTTTTGACTTTGACCTTTCCTTTGACCTTGACCTCATTTTCTTAAATTAGTGTATAGCTCAGTTTTGAATAAATCATTCAAAATATTTTTATCAAACTTAATATACTGATACGTATTTATGAGATCTATTCAACTGCATCAAAATCGTTTGACCTTGAACTTTTCTCGGACCTTGACCTCACTTTTCTTAAATTTGCATTTTCCTTAATTATAAAGAAACCATTTAAGATATATTTATGTAAGCATATGCACTTGTACATAATTTGGTGAGAATTCATCATCTATATCAACTTTTTAGATTTCAATTTTAGAGAAACTATTCAAGAAATTCTCATCAAATTTCAAACACAAATACAAATTTTCATGTTGCATTACTAATATACCCTGTCGCCCGCGTGGCGCAGTGGTTAGAGCGTCTGCTCTAGAGTCGCGAAGTAAGGAGATGATCCTTTCGTCGCGGGTTCGAATCCCACTGTGGGACGTGGAGACCGATTCTTCGGATGAGACCGTATAAACCGAGGTCCCGTGTCGCAGTAGGTGCTGGCACGAAAAAGATCCCTCACTGCTCAATGGCCGTAAGTGCCGAGTATAGGACAAAATTTGCAGCTCTCCACCGGCAAGTGGTGGCGTCTCCATATGAGTGAAAAATTCTCGAGAGGGACGTTAAAGAACATACAAACAAAAAAAAAACCTAATATACCCTTGGCGGGGCATTCATGTCCTATGGACATATTTCTAGTTTTTTAATGGATCTGATCTTCGTAGCGAATTTGACACACTGAGACTGAACAGGTGAATGGTATCTTTAGGTGGCCACTTTAATGTTATTACCTAATTTTTGAATTTGAAGAGCTAGTTCCATATTTAAGATCAAATACTGTACAGACATAGGCACTGGTGAAAAACAAAGCTTGTTAAAATTAATCTATACATAGTTGTTATATGATGTAACATCACAGTAATTATCAGTAGAGTAGTTATGTTTTGAAGTTTGCATTTGACAGCCAAAAAAAGTTCTTAACACTGAACGTAACCACAGTCAAACGAATCTACACATATGTATACTTTTCATTCAAGCTACATCACCAACAGCGAAGAAGGAGTTCAAAAATATTTATGAGAATATAGAAGGGACTTCAAAATCCAGAAACCTGAGTGGTTTTCGCAGGTCAGGTAAACATACTCGAGAAGAGAAAGCGAACAACATTGAAGGAGACGACGATATTGACAACGACGAGAAAATTCATGAGGAAAATCCATACGGAGATTTCTATTTGAATGAAGAAACAGTTCCAGATATCAATATTGATGAAATGGAAAATATTATTAAAGAGAAACGGCAAAATGAAGACGATGGCTTTCAAAGAGAGTATGCAGTAAGGATATCTAAAAGGATAGTTGATATATCAATGATAAGTTAATACCGTTGTTCTGTTTTGAAGCATCTATTTTTTCAATACTTAGGCACTTCCATACGGTGAAAGATATCCTTGTTATGCTGGAAAACGGCCAGAAAACATAACAAAGAACAGATTCAAGACCACGTTTCCTTGTATGTTTTGTGTTAAAAAATAGAGATGTTTACGTATGTAAATTACTTACCAAACAATAACAATAGCATATTATTTATTTTTCAATATAAACGCATTGAATACTTTCAGATGATCATTCCAGAATCAAATTGTCCAACAGCCAGTCGGACTACATCAACGCCAATTATATTGATGTGAGTTCGTTGGTATACGGTAGCAGATGGAATTAAAATGTCTTTCCTTATAGTAAAAAGCTTCTTAGAAAATAATCTTTCTTTCAAGTTTAAGGATTCCTTTAGGTTTCTTCTGTTATTGGGAAATACTGGGCAAAAAAGGGTCATGAAAAAAAACTACATGAAAATAAAATGTTGAAAACCGAAAAAAAATTGTTTCGTAAATATTTAGAGTCTCATCTCTTTAAAGAGTACGACCTTTTACAAATAATACTATGCTAAAATGTTTCATATCATACATTTTTTGTATCCCGGAATCATTTTCCCTAGCTTATTAAAATCTTTTGAAATTATGTTTTGTCGCCCGCGTGGCGCAGTGATAGAGAGTCTGCTCTCGAGTCGCGGGTTAAGGAGTTGATCCTTACGTCGCGGGTTCGAATCCCACTGTGGGACGTGGAGACCGGTCCTTCGGATGAGACTGTATAAACCGAGATCCCGTGTCTCAGTAGATGCTGGCACGAAAAAGACCAATCACTGCTCAATGGCCCTGAGTGCCGAGTATAGGTCAAAATTTGCAGCTCCCCACTGGCAAGTTGTGGCGTCTCCATATGAGTGAAAAATTCTCGAGAGGGACGTTAAACAACAAACAAACAGAAATTATGTTTTGTAATGTGTCATTAATGAGGACTTTTGTTTCCTTTATTCAGGGTATTGATAAGACAGATGAATATATTGCATCACAAGGTACATATTTTTACATATTCGGTTTTCATTCATTTGTATACTGCAACACAAGGTTTCAGTGTTTCTGTCTATTCATTGCAATGTTTGACCTCTTTATATAAACATGTAATAAAGCTCACCGTCAGCAAGTAAAATGTTAACTAACAGATTTAAGCCTCTGTAACAGGACCTCGACAGAACACAGTGACAGATTTCTGGTCCATGATTTGGCAAGAGAACGTCCACCAAATAGTTATGCTTACCAACCTGAAAGAAGGCAACAAAGTAACTTAATCTTAATTTTACAAGTTATTGAAAGGTAATTATTGGAAATAATGTGATTGTCATTGACACCATAAAAGTGATAAAATTGTAGAAAGGTATTTTCCCTAAAATAATGCAATAAATTTAAGTACACTAAACAATGTATTCTTAGAAACAGTATAACACGAATATGTTGGGTAGTTTTCTTATTCTTTCCGTGAAAAAAAAGATATTCAAAATTTATGTGAGAAATAACAGTGATTTTTAAAAACATATTAGAATATTGTATTTTATGTTTACTTACCAGGCAAAGTCTGACAAGTACTGGCCTGATCTACAACACTCGGCTACATTTGGTGTGATTTCCTTACGCACAGAGGAAGAACAAATTTATGCCTCTTATATAATCAGGAAATTTAGAGTTACACATAAAGTGGTGAGACATAAAATTATCACCGATTTAAATTATATCACTCCTGACATGAGTTATATTCAAGGATTGTTTTAGAAGTATATTTTAGGTGAGTACTCATATACATGTAGCATGACTCAAAATCGCAGTGTGCATCTTACTGAGCAACCGTACAATTAACTTAACCTTTTGGCACGTAAAAATTATCTTTAATCACTTCAACCTTTATAATATTTTACCAGATGTAATCATGGCAATAAATATAATCTTATTTTAAGTAAAATAATTAAATTAATAATTATTATTGAATAGACACTGCAAATTAATGCACGTTAATTATTGTATGACCATTTTGCACAAAAAATATCGTATTTGGTGTATTAAAAATTTTAACCGGCAATTGAACATTTTCTTGTATCAAGCTTTTTATGACTTAGTGCTGATCGGTTGAGAGTATCATGTAGTTGAAAATAATAAAGAAAAAGTTGGGATCAGTGATGTAAATTTTGAAATATTTATCAAAATAATATAAAAAACAAGACGTGTTTGTGAAACACTGATGCCCCCGTATGGCAGCTTATGGCGAAGGTTAAAGTTTCTCAAATGCAAGTCAAAATCCAGGCCAAAAGATAAAAAATGTTGATACCCAAAGAAAGGTCTTGTCTATATAGGAATATACCTGTGAAATTTGAAAGACCTAGCTGCAACTGTTCAAAAGTTATGGCGTTGGTTAAAGTTTTTTAAAATAAAAGTCAAACGTCAAGATCAAGGTCAAAGTGGTTGGTATCCAAAGGAAGGTCTTGTCACAAGGATTACATATGTGAAGTATGAAAGCCCTAGCAGCAACCATTGCAAAGTTATGACTAAGGTTAAAGTTTTTCGAAAGTAGGTCAACCTCCTATGTCAAGGTCAAAGGGTCAAAGTGGTTGGTATCCAAAGGAAGGTCATGTCACAAGGATTACATATGTGAAGTATGAAAGCCCTAGCATGAACCATTCAAAAGTTATGGCCAAGGATAAAGTTTTTCAAAAGTAGGTCAAACTCCTAGGTCAAGGTCAAAAGGGTTGGTATCCAAAAAAAGGTCTTGTCACAAGGATTACATATGTGAAGTATGAAAGCCCTAGCTCCAACCATTCAAAAGTTATGGCCAAGGATAAAGTTTTTCAAAAGTAGGTCAAACTCCTAGGTTAAGGTCAAAGGGATTGATATCCAGAGGAAGGCCTTGTCACATGGAATACACATGTGAAGTTTGAAACCCCAAGCACCAACTGTTCAAAAGTTATGGCCAAGGTTAAAGTTTTTTAAAAGTGGGTCAAACTCCAAGGTCAAGGTCAAAAGGTTAAAGTTGTTGGTATCCAAAGGAAGGCCTTGTCACAAAGAATACACATGTGAAGTTTGAAACCCCAAGCACCAACTGTTCAAAAGTTATGGCCAAGGTTAAAGTTTTTTAAAAGTGGGTCAAACTCCAAGGTCAAGGTCAAAAGGTCAAAGTTGTTGGTACCCAAAGGAAGGCCTTGTCACAAAGAATACACATGCGAAGTTTAAAACCCCAAGCAAAAACTGTTCAGAAGTTATGACCAAGGTTAATGTCTCATAAAATTTTGCAAGGTCAAGGTCAAATATGATGATACCCAAAGAAAGGTCTTGTCAAAAAAAATACACATGGGAAATATGAAAGTCATAGCTCCAACCAATCAAAAGTTATAGGCAAGGTTAAAGTTGACAACAGACAAACAGGACAAAAACAATATACCCCCAGGATCTTTCGATCCCGGGGCATAAAAAATATCTGGTCAAGAAAACGATGTAAAATCTTGACTTCTGCAATATATTTTCTTTTCTTGGCAAAGTATATTGAGTGAATGTGAAAAATTTGTTCTAAAGACATTAGCTGAGACCTATATTTATTATCCCTAGCATATAATAACGAAAACAATTATCTGGAAAAAAATGTAGGGATAAAATTCTAAGATATTGAGAGGGCTGGTTGGTCGCTGCCATTGTATAGTGTTATTATCTCTAAACAAAAATGATTTTCACTTTGAAGTCTTGTAACTGTTCCTTAGTCCTGGAAGAGTTAATGTTCTTTAAATGAACTCTTCATCCTAATAAGGTAATAAAAGTCCATGAAAACAATTGTCAAGATAAACTATTAGAAATGTCAAGACAAAACTAGGCAGCTTATACATGTTATAAGTGGTGGAAAAAAGATTTATCCGTTTATGTAAACAACAATAACAGCGACTGCAGTGATTGTTTATCTACGTACAGTCTGAAGGGCATGTACCGCAAAACCATGCATACTTCTCCAAAGAAAAACACGTGTCCAAGTATACTGAGTTTTTCAGTGTTTGTCGTCGGTATTGTTGCTTAAAACCTGGACAATATTGACCAGTCTTCAGTTTCAGGTAATGGTCGTTTGATTGTTCTTTCGTTTTTATTTTATCAATTATAAACATGTATAAACAGACAAACATGACTTCTTATAAACACCTAAATTATATACATGTATGTATAAAAGGCCGGGCAATCTCCTTGAATATCATATGAATTGTTCAATGACAAATATAAAGAACAGCACTCGGGTATATTATAAATTGATATTATTTGTTCCATGAAAAGAATTTCAATAATCCTTAAGGCCCTGGACATATTACTTTACTAGAGGCAGATATGATGATATGTAATGTGCATAATAATATGCCCTTGGTACAAAAAAGTTGTTAAATATTTTGACATTGTTAATTCTGAAATATAAATAAGGCCCTGATTTTATAATTTAAGATACTTAGTGAATAATTAAATACATACATGTATGATATGACTTGAGATTTAAAATGCATTTTAGAAGAATGTTGTACTTATTATCAATTTATAAGAATTTATGTGTAATTTTCAGAAAATTCAGGGAAAATCAACTGGAGCAACGCGGACTTGTGCTTGAGGTAGCATTACAATTTTTGGAGTAACAACTATGCTGAGGATGCAGTCACATACATGTATGCCATCAACCATTGCATCGAAAAGACCACTTTTTGAAGAATAATTTTTTAAGGGAAAAAATTTCCCCCAAGGATTACTCATCATAAGTCTTCCGTACCTAATGGTACAGAACATCCAAAATTATAAACATCTCATCTCTTTCATATTTAGTTGCAGCAGAAATTTTGTCTGATATTGTGGCTTTGAAAATTGCAGATTATAAGTTGGTTGTGGTATTTTAAACATTTGAAAATGTGAGAAAGGAATGCCACTGGATTTCAGGATATTTAAACATTAACTAAAATAGTGCCAATTTTTTGCCTAAAATGGGCTATTTTCCCCCCAGAACTTTCACAATATATTCGTTATATGTGTCCAATATGATGACAGAATTCACGACGGTTAATTTAATATATTATTTAAGACCAGCATAAAACATTTCACTGCTCAAAATAACTTTGTGTGCAGGCTGCATGTAAAAATAGGAATCCAAACGTAACAATACTGTAAATATTTCGAATGAGAAAAATTGACCATTTTCTTCAATAAAACCTTCCGCCACAAAATATACTTCCTAACTTAATGATTTCAGTATGGAATTTAATCATAGGGATTTAATTGAATATAGTTAAATTAGCATTGCAGAATCCAAATTTATTGTAAGAACTAAAACGGTATGCAAAATTTTTTAGATAGAAGTCTACACAAAAATCTGCCCAGAAGCTCAGGAACGAACCTCGTTAAATGAAACAAATGTGTAGATTTAAAGAATGTCTTTCTAAATATCCTTCCACCACAAAAAATACTTTCCCATAAATTTTATATTTTTTAATGATTTTAGCAGTTTTAAATTGAATGTTGTATAATTTAAATTGTGTTATTCAATTATGTAATAGTAATTGAATTGTAATAAAATTATAATTTTTGAAATTAGATGTTTTGACCAAACTTTTTTTCTCAAAAGCTGACGAGTGAGTTATCTTAAAGTAAAAATATAAAACTTACCAAGCAATACCTTTTTGAGGTTGTTCTTCCTCTCACTTTTTTTTTTACAAAGAGTGACAACTCTTAATGTTATTGATTGTATGAGTAAACATACTGAAAGTCAGGTAACATAGGAGCAAGTTTAAGACATATATTGCATCCGTTTTCTTTTAAAATGAGTTTATTGATTCACTGACAATCTTATATTGTGTGATAAATTTGGTTCAATACTTAAAACAAATACGAATTTTATTTGTTTCTTTTTAAGTTCTATTAACATACACATTTTAAGATTTTATTTCACTCAAAACGTCAACTATGAGCCCTACTGTAATGACTAAAATATTTCTTCTTTTGGATTTAAATGGTTTAGGAGTATTTTGATTTGACACCTCATGAGTTAAATACATGTTTATTTATCAGAAATGCTCATCTTTTGTCGTTCCTTGAAGAGGAATGTAATACGCATATTTGAAAACTTTGGAACTATATTTAAGAATATTTTTTCCTATTTTCGTCAGCTTAAAAGATCTCGCCTATTAACCCAGTACCACTATACTGCCTGGCCAGACCACGGAACACCAGAACCGCTCTGTCTTGTAATTTTCCATGACCACGTTACAAGGACAAAAGATAAACAAAAAAGTGGTCCAACATTAGTACACTGCAGGTTAAAAGAATATATTTGTAACTTATATATCTTGATAAGATGAACTTTTATTTAATTTCTATAATATTGATATGGTATTTTGGCTCATATTTTACCTTAGCGCGGGTATAGGTCGCACGGGTACATATATCGCTATTGACGCTTTATACAAGGTGGGCAAAACAGAAAGGAAAGTCAACATCGCGGAATATGTGAAAAGAATGAGAGAAAACAGAATGAACATGGTTCAGACATATGTGAGTTCATATAGCTAATGACTAACTTTGCATTTTAATTGTACATAAATAATATAGTTACGACTGCAAATAGAATAATTGTTTTTTTCATTTAAGGAATCAATACTTTTCTTTAATCATTTTAATGAGATATTTTATAGTCAGAGAGTCTTTGAAAAATATTCAGATAAAATGAACCTTATAAACACATTGAATTTATAAATGAATAAACTTAAGTCCAGTTATGCAAATATTTGAAAAAAAAGACAACATAGTGTGTTTTATTTTAAAATTTAAGGAGCAATACATGACTATCTTTTTGGCTCTTGACGCCATGTTCAAAGCTCCTCCATGTGTACACACCAAAACTGAATTCTTAAGGAGAGCAGAGTTAATGGCTCGAGATAAACCCGCTGATGAAAGTGAACTCAGAAAGGAGTTCCAGGTACATGTAAAATTAAAAGTAAATGTCTGATGAAACATTTTTGACAGAAACATATGAAATGTATGTGTATCCAACGCTTTATGTTTCAAACATTTCTCTGTGTGCACACCTGCATATCACCAAATCATAGAAATAAATGAAATATAATGATTTAAACATTTAGAATCTTCTACGAGTGCGACCAGCGTTTACATACGTGGATTACAAGATTGCTCTACAAAACGGAGGTAGTAAATCGTCTGTTCCTCCACGTGAGTGGCTTATACAAAAATTTCCATTTTACTAGTAATGTCAGGTCATAGTCTAGCTCTGTGCATTATTGCCAATGATTTGTCACAATATTATTACACATGTGTTCTAAACTCAGCCTTTTTATGTATAATGAAGGCGCATTGTAATTGGAAATTGAAAGTGTATATGATTTGATTTTTTTCTCCGGGCTATAAAAGTTGTTAATATAGCTCTATACTTTTTTCAAACAAAAAACTATGCTATCGATAAGTCACATGAATGCGTTTCTGTTTCATAAACGAACTCAAAATTGTGCTTGAGATATCCAATATTTTTAAAATTGCGTTTCCCTTTCTCAATTGCCAAATATTGCCTATCCTTGACTAATTTTAGTTGTCTTTTTTATTAATTGTCAAATTTCACATTGATACCTACTTGATGGTATTGATAAATGTCAGTCATATCTGAAATGAGAAAATGCTAAAGGTCTTTCCTTTTTTCAGTTGATAAATACATCCTCTTCCTGTCTTCAAGTGTACCAAAACGCGGGAATTACATTAACGCGGTTACTCTGCCTGTAAGTATTCTCAAGTATGAATGAATGGGGTATATATTATTACCCCTTTCCGTCAGTCATTCTGTCATTTCGACGTAGTAAATTTCAGACTTCTTTACAGCTTGTTGATAATGAGCTGATTTTTTTGGTATGTCTCTTTCTATTACTTCCAAACTTTGTAATTACGAATTTTGTGGAAGACTATACTAGACAATGGACATGAACAAGAAGACCTTTACACTTCGTCAGAGTGGATTAAAATTATCAGATAGATGTTGAAATGAAAACCATCTCTTCAATAATTAAGAAGTGAAAAAAGAACTAGATAACACGATCAATATATACTCGACCCAGCTGAGAAAGCAGGTAGCAACATTGTCTTTGTACATTTACCTGTACATTATTTCGATAGTATTTTAGAGGAACTTGGATTTAAGTGTGCAAGTGGTAATCCAACTTTTCTTATAGTTCCCTTTCCAAGAAGGAAATTCTTCAAAATCAAAACAAAAATGAAGGCAAGCTATTGGCTAAGCGTTGATGATACAAGGATATCAACAGTCCCGTTTAATGTCAACATTTCGCAAATTCTATGGTCGATACAATGACCTTGTTAACAAATACAATCTATCATTTAGCCGGATGTTTACTGACGATTTTCATACAAATTTTTAGGTCATTATTTTCAAACTGAATTGTCTACGGATATTTCCGTTTGCCCGTTTATGACAAGGAATACACGACGGATTTGACCGGTCGACAGAGGATGCTTACTTCTCCAAGGCACCTTATCCCACCTCTAATGTTTTAAGAGGTTTGTGTTTGTTCTGTGCTGAATTTCAATTGTTGCAATGGACTTAAGACTTTGATTACTGTTCGTTACTTTCATATTTCATTGATGACTTTAGATCAAGTTTGCTTGTGAGTGATAACCATTTCACGCAGTTTAAGTATGTTGTGGTACATTGTCAACTGATACCAGAAAACTAAAGCAGCAGTGTATTTTATTTCTGTGCCATATCCATCCATTTTTATCTTCACACTCTTTCATATACATCTTTTTAAACTTGTCTGTCAGTGAGGTAATCTTGTCTAATACGATGTAAATTGTAAGTCCTTTTCAGTAAATTCCTTTAATTAAAATGTTGTCTAATCCGGCAAACTTTTTCGGAACCGATGATGTCCGGATTAGACAAGTTTTACTGTAATAATAAATACATTTTCGAAGGGCATGAATTTTTTTATAATAGCATATAAGCGTCATTTTACAGGTAGTTCATTATTGCTGAGGACTTAACGGGTTTATATGATAACTGACTTATCTTATATATTATTATAGCCGCTTCACTCTGTGAAGGATTTTGTTAAGCCTAAGCCTTTATGTCTTTATTTTAGTCCTACACAAATCCCAATGCATTCATAATAACGCATTATCCCTCACCAGAGGACGCTGTTGACTTCCTGCGCCTGCTCACTGATCACGAGTCAGACGTTCTGATTTGTATGGATCCTCTTAATGAAATTGAATCAGTACGTAAAGAAATATTCGTTTATTTATGTTAACAAATATTTTACCAGAAATAAATAGGCAATAGACAAATTAAAACTGTTACTGCTTATAGGTTATTTTGTTTATATTGACAGAGAAAGGCATGGCTACCAGTCCTCAACAGTTCAAAAACTGTGTCCCCATACACAGTACACTGCAAGCAACAGCAAGTTACTGATATTAAATGTACCACAATCAGCTGTATTAAACAGAAAATGGTAAGTCAAATTGAGTCATGGTTAGTTTCTAAAAAAAAAAAATAAATAAAAGTCAGTGTCTGATAGTCAACAACTGTTGGAATGATAAGGTGATTACGTTTTATTGCAGAAGGTCAAATGTCATCTAATTAAACACTAAAACAACATAAAATTGTTACTTTTCAACATTTTTCTTTTGGGGAGTAGATGATCACTGTAGATTTTGAGGTCACAAAGTCAAACTACTATAGACATAGGAAATTCTTATCAATTCAATATCTTCAGAACATAAACTTGGTACACTGGTTCTAATTAGGGAGTATATGACCGTATTGATTTTGAGGTCAAAAGTGAAAAGTCAAACTGGACAGACCACTCAAAATCTTGAAAACTCTTTGCTTCCCAGACATAATTCGGTACACTGGTCTTCTTGAGGAATTGAGTGGGTTTGATGTCACAAGCTCACAAGTCAAGGTCAAACTACTCTAGACTTATGGAAATGTTGTCCTTTCAATAGCTTGGGATCCCTTTACTTGAAAGACATCAAACTTGTTCCAATTAAGAAGTATATGACCCCTATTGATTTTGAGATCACAAGGTCAAAAGGCAAGGGATAAACTATTGTAGACATAGGAAGATCTTGTAGTTCAATTTCTTGAGAACCATTTGCTTCGCAGACAAGACATCTAACTTGGTGCATTGGTTCACCTGGGGAATAGATAACCCTTTTTATTTTGAGGTCAAAAGATTCAGTGTAAAGGTAAAACTGGACATAGGAATATGTTGACTATTCAGTATCTCGGGAAACCTATGCTTGACTGACATCAAACTTGGTACACTTGAAGTCCCTGTTAAGAAGTAAATTACCCCTAATAATACTGAGGTGAGGTACAGATAAAATATAGAATAATGTTTGCCCCTACTAGAAGATGGCCATTCTTTTAACCATCGTTACATTTATTCTGAATTTAAAGTTTTTCCAATTTTAATATTGCCGTAAGGAGGACATATATTTTTCTTAAACTTTTTTTCTTCAAATAAGTTTTTAAAGTCTTCTATCTGACGCGACATGCTCACATTTAAAGGTGTAACGTTTTGTTATACTCTAAGCATTGTCAGTAGGAATACTAGCATTCAATTCAAATATTTTGTAAATAATGGAAAATGTATTGACTTCGATAGTGAAATTTGTTTTTAATTACCTTTTTCTTCTCAGGCAAACATCGGTGGATTTTCAATGTCGATCATAGAGCCAAAAGAAAGCCTGACAACCACTGATCATTCCCATGCAATAGTGCAGATGTTACGTTTGGTTTCTTACACTTTACAGAGTGAAAGCGAGGGTCCTATTACCATAGTCAGCAGGTGATTGATGTAAAATCATGACATAAATAGTATAGGAAGTGTTTGCACGAATACTCATCATGATTGGTCTCGTGCTTTGGGAAAATAAAAAATGGAGAACTCCCAATTGGAATTCCTTGTTATATTTTTTTTTAGTTTTCAGAATGCATCTTTCTGAGTGTGTTTAACCCAGATTCTAAAAATACTTGTAAATAGTATCGATGGAAATAGAAATTATCACCGAATCATACGCTCAATAGGGAAAAAACATTCAACGTCAAACTGTCTTACTCTAGATAGAACGTTGGACAGATGTATCTATTTATGTTAGATTTGAGCTCGTTGGTAGCAAATTAAATTCCATAACTTCTTTAAAAGGTGAAAAGTGCCTTCGAACGAAAGATTTAACGCAGAAAATATCGGAACTCTGTTTTAAGTTACATTCAAAATGATTTATGAAATAAATGTTAAAAACTAACGTGTATTTAAACGAATAAACAGGGTTAGAATCCTTATTTCAACAACTTTACCCTAACGGTAGTTTTGCCCATTGGAAATAAATTTTGGATACAATTTTTGGAATTTAACATAATTGAATTATGGAAATTATACATAATTTATCTTTCTCATGCCATAACAGCAATCATGCATGGGCAAGCAAAAAGCTTGTGTTATTTTTTAAAGAAACATCTTTTTCTGAAAGCAATTCTTGTCAGCAACTTTTTTTTTTTTTTTACAATATATGAAACTTCTACGTGCTTCTTTTTTTATTTGAATGCTTATTTATATAAATAAAAAAAGTATAAACAAACATACATATGTATATACCCAGTAGCGTAACAGCCCTGATACACGTGTTATTGGACTAGATGAGAGCCCTGATACACGTGTACCGGACTATATGAGACAGAAGCGTAACAGCCCTAATACACGTGTATTGGACTATACGCAGCTCTGTTAAGGTTGCATAAAAGAAGCAGGGCCTAATTTATACGGGAAATGATTACTGTGACATCACACAAATATAACAGTTCCTCACATTAGCAGAAAATGAAATAATTTGCGATTTAAAACTGCATAAGAGTAACAAACTACATCAAAACTACATCTTTTTATTTGACGTTATGTAAAACTTTTATACACCATGTAGTGTTATGCTAAAAAAAACCATATTTAGTACTTAACCAAAAAAAAAAAAAAAAAAAAAAAAAAAAAAAGAAAGAAAAGAAAAGGTTTTATTAATGCCTACTGAGAAAATCTATTTGCCCGTCGTGTTATTTTATTTTACTTTATGCATTACTTATATACATCATATCATATGTAGTGTTATTCTTTAAAAAACCAATTTATTAGCTGTATTTATTTTCTTAGTCTAATCACAATTTACATTGGCCTTATTTATAGAGCACGTCTGCCAAGAAAATCTATAATCTGATAATGCTACTCCATTAAAAAAAGACTTGCATGTATTACTTTTATAATATTTTAGCAGCAAAAATATTAAAACAGGTATAAAAAGTCGCTATTTATATAACAGCTGTGTGCTGTAATGTTAAATGCGAACATAATTACATAAATAAGACAAAGGGTAAATTAATACAAAAATTATTTTCATAAACGTTAATACATGGAGTCATGAAATGAACGGACACATTTAAGATCAGGATTATTAAAAAAATACTGTAAAAAATAAATATATAATATATATAATACATGCTATAAAGCATTACCTAACGCCTTAAGGTATACACACAATGCATTTTATAATAGTTTTTCAGTAACAGGGCAGTCCTGTATGGTGTATTTTGTGCTGTATATAACACGCTCCAAAAGCTAGTTGTCTATCTATATTAATATTATTTTTATTATCAGGGACGGAGCAGTCCTATGTGGTGTATTTTGTGCTGTATATAACACGCTTCAACAGTTGTCCATGGACGGCGAGGTGGACATTTTCTCTACTGTCCGTCAGTTACAGATAAGACGACCTGAACTCTGCACCACAATGGTTATTTCATTTATATAAAGACAAACTTGTATATGTTAGATTTTAAATGAATTTCATAACCTTTGAAATATAAATTACTGCATGATAATTGATATCTGATACAATGACCCTGTCAGCAAATACAATTTATCATTGAGTCAAATGCTGACTGACGTTTTTCATACTAATTGTAAGGCCATTATTTACACACTGAATTGTCGACGAATTTTTCCGTTATTTCCCGATCATGACAAGGAGCAAACGGCGGGTGTGACCGGTCGGCAGGGGATGCTCACTCCTCCATGGCACCTGATCCCACCTCTGATGTTTGGAGGTCCCTGTTTGCTCTGCTCCTATTTTGTATTGTTTAATGGACTTTTGAGCTTGAATACTGTTCGTTATCTCCATATATTTCATTGCAATCCTTTTGTGGTATCTTTGTTCAATGAAAAGTGCTAGAACAAATGCAAAATATGTTTATACATTTATTATAGGATGAGTACAGAATGATTTACGATGTGGTGTTAGATTACATCCGGACACAGGAGGAAAATGTTTACTTCAACCAGTAAACTGTAGTCATACAGATGTTGTAGCGAAAATATACATAAGAACAATTATAAAATGTTTATCAGATTTTTTTTAATATACTTTAGATCTATTTAAAAATGTTTATCAGATTTTTTTTTTAAATGATAAAATGATAAATGCTGAATCCTTTCAATGTGCATGCATTAAATAAACAGAATAATTTCAAATTACGCTTTTTATATTTTACACATGTTTATTTTTGTTTTGCTAGAATTTCAACTATGTAATGTTTAAATTGCTTATTAAAAGTTGCGTTTTATTGAATTTAATAATGTAACCTTTTACACTCAAATATTATAGATAATATACAATTCTTTGTATTCAAGCTTCGGTGGAGAAATCAGAGATATTAGAATGAGAATAGAGGTATACATTAGCAGCAGAATAATTGTAAATATTAAAATTATATTTCACAAACATTGGAGAGAAAATGTGAAATAAATATTAAACTATAAAGCTAAGGAAAATATTTTTCTTCAATGACATTGAATGAATCTACTGTACATTTTGTTGCAGACTAGTAAATTTGTGTTCCTGCGAGAGAATATGTTTCCATATTTAACTGTACGTCCTACTCTTGTTTTGTTTGATACTATTTTAAATAATGTTTCTTGTTTTATGATTGACAGAAGTGCCACCGAGCAAAAAGTAAATGACATTTTAAGTAAAGATGTACATCATAATGTTCATTCTTTTAAATGTTCTATTCACCCCTCCTGCAGTTTTCAGATACATGTACTGAAGAAATTTTTAATATTGAACAAGAGTTGTGTTTAAGATTTCCTGGGTATACCCATTCATTGAAAGAGCCTTTTGCTTCGTGTCTTTTAAGATCTGTTTCAAAATTAATGTACAAAGATGGGGCAGGTGATCCCAATGTTTTAAAAGTTTATATGAAGAATCACGGTGTTCCAGATATTCCCATTGTCAATTTTAGAGGGAATCGGTTCAGTATCATGTTTTCTAATGCTGCAGGTAGTTTTTTATGCACAATCTTGTATTACAGTATTTTTATTCTTTGAAAACTTCTTACTTTTTAATCAGAATTTTATTATGTTATGTTTGCAGAACAATTTTTTTTCAACTCTTTAAAGATTGCTTGGCATTTTATGCGAAATCATCACAGAACCTTACTTTTCAAAAGCCACAGAAGTTGGAAATATTTTAGATATGGGCTCTGTATTTCAGAGATTTTTATATATTTTAGATTTGTTTATTGAAAATCCAAATTTAGCTTTGAATAATGAAGTTTCACATTTTTTATTGTCCATATTTTTATTACGAGGTTTTTGAATTTTTATTGAAAACTTCACTGAATGATAATCTTACATGTGTTTTTATAAAGCGTCTGTGTTATGTTCTTAAAAGCAAAGCTAGTAAACTCTTTAGTGAATTTTTAACTTGGGGAAGTATTTTAATACTAGTGGTAGTGAATTACAAGGATGCCAATCATGTGATACGAATAGCATCTGCTTTGAAAGACTCATAGGACAGTTAGATTTTAAATTAAAAGCAGCTTCCACGTCATCTTTAAATACCATCGAAAGTTGTATTTTATATTCTAATAACAGAACAGAAGATTGGTTGAAAAATAAAGATTTCAGTGAACAACAAGATATAATAAATCATGGTCGTTCGGAAAATAGAAAACTTTTATGCAAAAAGACAAGGAGAAACAAGAAGAAATTGTCAGAAAACAAAGATTTTAAAAGAAAAAGAAAAAGAAGCTCGAAGAAAAAAGGAAAAACAATCCAGTGAGGGAGAGAGCAATAGAGGACAAGATGAAAGTTGGCCTTTGGGAGAGTGAGGATAAGATCAGGGAAGAACTGGAAAAGCTGAAGACAGAAAAAGAAAAATTAGAGGCATTAAAAAAGCAAATCAACATCTACAAAAAGTTTTTAAAATTGAAAAAAAAACCCAGAAAGAATAGGTTCAGTTTCCTTCGAAAGTAAAGGTGTTTGATTGTAATAAATTACAGGATAATCTCTTAAAATTAAAAAAAAACTAAGAAGAAATACGCAACAAAGAGAAAACATATCGAACACTCTACACATAAAATAGTTCACTTATGCTAACAAAAAGAAATTAAATTAATATTTGTAGTAGTCGGGCCTGTTATTATGCTTGTATGATACACTATACATGTAAATGTATAGACGATCATGTTTCGATCTGCAGAGTCGTATTCACGATGATACAGACCTGTGTTTTATTATTATTTTTTTTAACTTTAGTTCAAGTTATATGATTAAAATGATTGTGTGTTTTTATTTCATGATTAATTCAGAGAACACTTAAATGCGAGATAGTTTCCACCATGTTACATATATAAAACTGTGTTGCAACTCTGTTAGTAACTATAACTCTGTGTATGCCACTGCACATTTAGACATTTTAACTTTGTGGCGTAAAATTAGAACTTTTAGGAGTGTTCTTCGGAAACTATGTTAAACAAGAACACAGCATACAGGAGTATTCCCTCGCAAGACACTATATTTCTAAGAGACCCGAGAGCCGTTCAGTACAATTCATAGCAAAACTAAAACTAATGGTTATTTATAAAACGTATAATAAAATTTTATGTATATTTTCATTTTTAACTGTCTGCGATTTTTTTTATATAATATGTACCAGAACAAAATATAAGTCAACATCAATAAAACTGAACTGTTATTTATTGAATGGACGACCATTTGATTCACGGTTGGGGGGGGGGGGGGGCTAGCTAATTTTGTCGAGTCAGATCATTTACTTTCATGCCGTTTCCAGGATGCTCAGAGACAGATTTTTTCCTTAGTGTTAGTGACTGGTATAGGTACCGCCAGTCAAGGTCTGATAATTTATTTTATCCCAAATGCGGATAGAATATTTATTTGCCATATTTTAAAGGACAGCTTATTTTTAAAACCGGCTAGCCCCGCCCCCTTTTTTGAGAAATGTTTGTCCATGTAACAAGTTTGTACGTGTATGAGTAGATATCTATAATAGTTCTCTATCATTAAAGCGATCATAAAACAAGTTTAATTGGTGAAAATACAATGTGATAGAAAGAATGTTAGAAAAATAAGCACTCTGTAGCTTTTTTTCATAATCTAATTAATTCGATTATATTAATCATGATTAACTGCATTCTGAAGTCGGCCTTTGGCACACTTTGTCTAATAGTCAATAGTAAAAGCTCTACATGCTTCTGTTAGCGTCGGAATGCAATGCTCCACACTACAGAAAGCTATCAAATGAATTAGGTTCAATTATTTTCTCGTCCAATATTTCTTGAAATGATTTTAAAAGATCGCCCTTTTATGACTTTTCATTTTTATTAATTGAAATGCTGTGTATTTACCGCAGGCACTTGTCTGGGTTCGAGTCGACGAAAAAAATCTTCAGGATCCGATTTTATACAATTTAAGAACAATGATGCTAAAATGTAATAATAATAAATAATAATAATAATAATACTTTATTTAAAGAAGGTAACCTGGTTAGTGCATGCACTATTCTTCCCCAGGGCCTTCTAGATATTAAGTACAGATACATATAATTATATACATACAAATATACAAATTAACTTATTGCAGTCCATATGATTACAGTCTCAGAAGTATGAATACAGAGTTTGTCTTTGTCCGATAATAATTACATATAAATAAGGAACAATCATAAACACAAGTATTTAAATATAAATACATGTACATGTAGTAAATTGAAAAGAAAAAAAAAAATTATTGAAATATTTGCTCAGATATTTATTCGACGGCTAACAATGTAATTTTCTACCTTGCATTTAAAAGCTTGTAGAGACTGAGAAAGCCTGATTTGTTGTGGTAGTTTATTCCACAGATGTACACCTGAGTACTGAAAAGAGGTCTTAAATATGTTTGTACGGAATTTTGGTAATCTAAGATGGTAGTTTGATTCAGATCGCAGATTATAAGAAGTTGAAGAGTGAAATTCAAATAACTCACAAAGATATTCAGGAGTCATACCATTGAATATTTTGAATAATAAAATGTATTTGTATAGATCAACTAGCTCGTAAACTGTCAGCCAGCCAAGTTTCTCAAACAATGGTTTAGAAGAAGAATCAGGACTTGCATCGAGAATAATCCTAGCGGCCCTTTTTTGTAATTTAAATATTCTTTCAATACTGTTTTGGGGTGCATTTCCCCAAACAGTCAAACAGTAATTAATTGAAGGTAGAATATATGCATTGTAGTACAGTTTTCTGGTATGTAAGGGAAGAAATTTTTTTATCTTGCGTAATGTAAATAACTTGTAGTTTAAGGTTTTGCAAACTGAGTCTACATGAACAGAGTACTGTAATTTATCATCAATGTGTATACCTAGAAGTTTCTCAGTCTCAACCATCTCAATTATTTTGTCTGAAGCATACAGTTGTAAGTTTGGATGGATTAGTTTGGATTTTCTCTGCTGCGTGCCCATTAACATACATTTTGTTTTATCTACATTCAATACCATTTGATTTTGAGAGCACCATTTTTCAATTTCACAAATATCTGAGTTCAACACATTTTCTAGATATTTTGGATTATGATTGTTAGTATGTAGAGTTACATCATCAGCAAACATGTCAACTTTTGAGTTTTTTACATGTAATGAAAGATCATTTATGTACAATAAAAATAAAAGCGGACCCAAAATTGAACCCTGCGGCACTCCTGCTGTGACGGGTAGGATATCGGAAAGACATGTTCCAATTTTTACACGTTGCGTCCTGCTATAAAGATACGATTTAAACCACTTAATAGCCAAATGGTCAAACCTGTAATGAATTAATTTCTGTAGAAGAATGTCATGATTTACTAAATCAAAAGCTTTACTGAAATCAATAAATGTAATACCAATTAGTTCACCACGATCCATTGCATTTAGCCAACTTTCTGTTAGTTTTGTGAGTGCAGTTTGACAAGAATGGAATTCTCTAAATCCTGATTGGGATTGTGTTAATAGATCAAAGACA